CCTCTATTTTAAGCAGCTGTGACAACTGGTCAGTCACCTTAGGAAGAATCATTTCAGTGGTCATTTTTCAGTAGGCTTTTTTTTTTTTTTTTGCTTGACAAAAGCGGTCCCTCTCCATGTGTTTTAGGATCTCTCTTGAGCAGGGAGTGAACATATTGTTAGAACTGACAAAGAGGAAAAACATTGAGTTCTTGGCTGCTTTTCTTTGAGGTTCAATATTATAAGAACATCTCTGATGGGCTGGTGTAGGCCTCACTGAGGTCAGCTGGTTAAAATGATCCTAGAACTCTGCTCCATGCCTACTCTACCCTTGGCCATGAAAACTCATCATGAGTGAGGAAGAGTCTGAACCAGTGACCCAGACTTGGGTCTGTTTTGTTTTGGGGTAAAATGGGTTCGGATAGAACCTGTAGCTGGCATCAGGACTCCGGGGGGAATGATGGTATATGTTTGTGTGTATGTGGGTATGTATGCCTGGGTCTGTCTGTGTATGTGGACATGTGGGTATGTATACCTGTGTGTGTGTCAGAGAGAGAGAGACAGAGATGGAGACGGAGACAGAGACAGAGAGACAGACAGAGAGACAGAGAGAAAGAGAGAGAACGCGCTCTGGGAGTATCGCATCACTAACAGCACTCCATGTTGCTGTGGAGTAACTGGCTTCCCAGAGATGTCATAGAATCTTCTAGCTTCAAAGGGCAAGTCTGAGCTCCAGTTTTAGCAGGTCAATAGAAGCCACCTTTTAAAATCATGGGACCACATGAAGCAGCAGCAGATCCCAGCAGCTCTGCATCTAGCAAGAAGGCCAGAGTGATAGTGTTTAGACCAAGGAACTATCTTGGTTCTTATAATTATCACAGGAAGAGACAGATTTATAGGCAGTTTGGGGCCAAATCTTATTAATTTTAATGTTAAAAGAACCGTGATCATTTTGTAGCTCAAACTGGTAAAGCAGAACATAATGGTCACAAATATGTAAAAAGGAAGAAGATTCTAGGGAAGTTTATTCATATGTGAATTATTATATTTATGGCGTGCATTTGTGGTGGATTTTTGTTTTCTTCCTTATTTTGTTCCCAGTCTTTTAAGTTCACCTTTTTTTACAATAAAAATGTGTTGTTTTCTATTTAGGACATATAAAGACAACAGGAGATTTTTTTTAGCCCAAGTATTCTGCTCTAGTGGAATCCACTTCTCCCTCCATGGTGCCTGAGTCCTCTCCCCTTTCCAGGTCCACAGCAGAGGTGAGCCTTACCTGAGAGGGCACTCATTACCAACGAGCAACTCTAACTCTAGAAAGTTCTGGGTGACAGCAGGGGGTGCAGCTTTGGTGGTAGACAATAAGCTTTGGGGGGCAGCGAAAGCAAAATACCATCTCCAGGGCAGATCAAGAGACAAGACTGACGGTGAGGGAAGCAAGAAGTAGGAGTTGAGAGCAAGGTCAGGCTGGTCACACTCAATAGCGGTTCTCAAATGCGGATGAGTTTGTACAAGAGTCCTTAGAGGAGCTTAGGCAGAGCGCAGATTTCTGGGGCTCACCCCATTCCGGGTTGGGAAGATTTGGGGTGAGGCACAGGAATCCTCAGATGATTCTGGCCAGAAAGTAGCCTGAGGACCTTTCTTTAAAAACTGCTGCATGGCCCGGTGAGTCATGCAGAAGAAAACACAGTTATGATTTCATAAGATCACGTTCACATCAACTCATGAAACAGTTCACAGCAGTTAGCAAGAAACTCACTCATTCAGGTTCCACAGAAACTCTTCATGGACTTAGATGAAGTAATGCTGTGTGTCGATTGGTGGTAGTGTCACAATGGTTCCTGCTCTACACGCTCCTTGGCTGACAACCCCAAGGCGGGACACCATGACTTGGATGGGCATACTCACCACACTCCCTTGGCGGGTATGCTCATTGTCAGGATGCCTTCCAGATGGTATCTGAGCCACGCGAAGGGGAAGAACCATCATTTCCCTTTCGATGCCTTCCTTTTGTGTGGAGGCTCCTGCTGGAAGATATAAAATATGTTTTTGAACTTGTTGATCTTCGATCAAAGTATATTGAGCAAAACCATCTCTACAGAATTGGGTAAAATTTACAGGAAGGGTGAATTCACTGCTGTTGAATGCTTTGTACAAAGCCTGGCAGCGGAGGGCTGGCCACAGCTCACGGCCTGACTCTCCTGCTACTCAGCCAGGTACTTCTGAGTCCCGAACTACTGGCATGGACATGGAAGACCACCAACTGCACAGCTTGGAAGAGCCCACCCACTTCTGATATGTTTTTAATCACCAATAATCTCTGTCTAGAATTCCCTGAGCATCCACCATGTGTGTCCTCTTGGGGAGGTAAAGGTGTGACTCTCACCAAGGAGCACCCACTCCAGGTGGAGAACAAAGGTTTAAGGAGAGCTAAGTTATGCTTCTCCAGCCCCATGGTACCTCTTCATAGCTGTTTCCAAAAACTAATTATTTGTGTAATTATTTCCTCATGAGACCATAGACTCCAAGGGGTAGAAATGGTGGGAAAGAAAGTGAGAGAAGGAATCGGGGACCAGAGCTCCTTGAGTTCTACAGAGTTTGAGATTTATCCTTCAGACAAAAAACTCATTGAAATTTTCTGAGCTAAGGAGTCACATGGAGCTTTCCACATTTCAGGAAGATTAACGTGAAATGAGGCTGATGGGGGTGAGAAGGGAGGATGAGATGGTCTGCAGACAGTGGCTAGTGGGAGGCTACTCCAGGAGGAAAGCCTCCACCTGGAACTCCTGCCTCACCCTCCCCAGGAACTGTCATAGAGTTGTAAGCCACATAGGTGGGTTTGTAGCCACTTCTGCACTAGAAGAGATAACACTACTCAGCTGTTTTTGATACTCCAAAGAAAGTTGCATAAATACATTTGTAGGAATTTTTATGCTACAATTTTTCTTTGTTTTTGATACTCCAAAGAAAGTTGCATAAATACATTTGTAGCAATTTTTACATCCATACATATGTGCCTCTGCATATCCACCTGGAGTTAAGGGAACCTGTGCCTGGCAGTACACTCCATCCCCATTAACTCTTTCAGGACTTCAAGGTACCACTTAGTTTCTAGAAGAGCTAATTTTCCAAACACACATTCCAATGCCCTGAGTTAATGGGTGCACACTTCAGTCTCGTGGAATATTTTACGCACTCTGGCTCAATAGATGATTATTATGGCTAAGAGCCACAGTAATAAACTTGTTTTTTGGGGGTCACCACATTGATAGCAATTAAAGCCTAAAAGAACATAGTCCTCAGGGATCTATAACATAAGCTAATCAGGTAATTAGAAAGATTTTTTATTTTTTTTTACTTTTTCCCTTTAATTCCATCTTAATTGTGTGAGTAGAAATCAGCACTTGAAGGCTCATCCTTAAGGCCATGTTCAGTAACTGTTTCAAAAAGGTTAAGTTGTGGCACTGTGGTCTCAGAAGCCCTCAGAAGTAATGAGTAGTGTCTCACCCTAGACCAGTGTTGTCCCATAGAAATATAATACGAGCCACATGTGTAATTTAAAAATTTCTAGTAGTCACGTTAATAAAAGTAAAAATAAGCAGGTGAAGTAATTTTAATATTTTCTTTAAATTAATATATCCAAAATATCGTTTTACCATATATTAAATATGACAATGATTAATGAAATATTTAAGATTCTTTTGTTGTTCTAAGTCTTAGAAAACTGGTATATATTTTACACATATAGCACATTTCTCCTCGCACCAGCCACATGCACGTGTGGCTACTGCCTGTCATTAGCAGACAGCACAGGCCGAGCCACTCAGCTGGCAACGTTGCAGGCCAGCCACACGAGAAGGCTCCTTTCTAGCGTTAACCACAGCAGTTTAGTACTGGGAAGCAAAGTAAGGAAAAAGGTCCAATACTTGCCCCTCCTGGTGCCAGCTGAGCAGAATAAATGCTTTTCTGGTAGAGAAGGGTCAGCAATGAGGAAAACTGTTGGGGCACAGAGAAAAAAGAAGAGGGAAAAAAGCCCTTTATAAGTTCAGAGATTTGGGGAATCTAAGTCACGCTGTCAGGGCTCTGGGCAGTCAGGGAAGAGGGTGACAGGCCCAGGCAGAACCAGGAGAGGAAGAGGAAATGAGGCAGGCGAGAGGGGATTTGCTACATCTGAATCCGGCGGGGAGGGATTACTGACTTCCGCCTGCCTAGAGCTGATCCCGTCTACCTTGGGCTTAGGGAACTTGCCAAGGAAGGAAGGAGCCACCAACCGCATCAGGGAGAGACTCATGGGAGGGAGGAAAGGAATGCCACTCAGCAGCTCAAGGGGAAGAATGGACTCAG